CCTCCCGGACCGGGGCACGAACCCGTGTCCCCTGCATTGGCAGGCGGACTCTCAACCACTGCGGCACCAGGGAAGCCCCCCAACCCTTTTTATTTCAACTCTTTCCTTCTCCATTACACCTTCGCCTCAGCCTACAAACAAGTTCAAGTTTTGTTCGTTTAAAAATTCCCAACCTCAGCTCTTAAGGAACCATCCTGTCTAACTTCTGGAAGAATCTCCTAACCTTCCATGGTTCTATTTCCTACTCATTCTGAACCTGTGCCTGCCCTTGCATTCCAATGGCACTGTTCTCTCAAAGGTCAATAAAACTTCTCACTGCCGAATCTCCCTGCCCAATACCAACTCAACTCCTGCAGAGATTGACTCTTGGATCATCCCTGGCTTCTCAGAATTCAACTCCTGCTTGGCTTCTCCAAATACTTCTATCTCCACAGTCGCTGTCTGCAACTCCTCTTCCCCCAACTCACACCTTACATGCTCATTCCTCTTCTTTATTATTCTCAGTCCCTGGAACCATAGGGCCAAAATTCTACTGCCCACAGAGGCCAAAAAGGGAAGTTAAATGAATGACGAGATCAGCTAAGACCTGTATCCAGCTGAAGATCTCATGCCTCATCCAGAGAGGGCAGGTGCTACTCAGCTCCAGCAGATGGCTGTCGTGGAGAAATAGCCATCCAGCGCTGCCACACCAACCTACTACCATGTAAACTCTGGGGTTTCAAACATGAACAACCAATTCAGAAACACACACCACCACCACTACCAGCACACTGTACAGGCCAAAGGAAAAACACCTGTCAGATTAACTGAGCCAAAAAGCCGCCAGTGTTCAGCCTCGGCACTGGTCAATCTTGGTCTCCTAGGGAGTGAAATGTCAGTAGGTAAGATCCTGATGACCTATCTCTGAGGCTCCAGACAATAATTTCCAACTTTCAACTGGACATCCCCTAGGGATGTCCCAGCAATATCTCAGGAAACAGGACCAAAATCAAACACATCATCCATCACCCCACCACAGTTTTCCTCTTTCTGATCACCATCCTTCAAGTCAACCAGGACAGAAATCAAGGAGTTATTTATGACCCCTTCCTCCTATCCCATCTCCAATTAGTTGTATAGTTATGAAGTCCCTCCCTCCACACTGCCCTTCATATCTGTCCCTACCCTTCCACTCCCCTCTGCATAATGTTCAAATCAGTTGACACCTCTGCAATTCATCCTTCTCTCAACCTCCATAGTTATCTTCCTAAAACCATGACTGACTCTGGGGCTTCCCTTCCTCCAGAAAGCCCTCCCTAGCCCTCAGCACTTTGCTTGTGCTTCTATGAGAGTCCAGAGGTATTCAGCCTTGCAGCCTCCCTAGCTGTGTTCACAGCTGTCCACACCGTGAGACCACATTCCCTACGGGCAGAACTCATCGTATTCATCCTTGTGTGCAGACAGTAGATGTGGACAGAAACTGATGGGGAAACCACACATTAAAGAGAAAGTTCAAAATGAAGAAGCCACAGGGTGAAGAAGTTACTCTTTATCCAAGATTAGATGTATTTATTTTATCCTGGGCTGGAGCCAGGCACTAACCAAGGTCATTTTAGTCATGCAGCCAGCAAAAGCAGAAAGTCCTGTGGCATGTGAAAACAAACAAACAAAAAAAGGTTTTTAATACTCTGCAAAAAAATGAATTAAGTACCCTTTCTAGGGAATTCATCAATTAATCTTTGTCACTGTTAATATGTAAATTTTAATACTGCCAGTGATAAAAGCTTTTAAGGTCACTGGCAATTACAGAAAGAGAACAAAACTGGGACACACAGTGCCAGCGTCTCCTGGCTGCTTTGGGGCCTTTTCCCAACATTCAAGGCACCTTCCCCTTCCCATCCCAATCGGAAATGGTAGAGATCTCCTCTCATACTTTTAACTGAAGGACCCATTTCCTAGAATCTTCTGGAAAAAAGCAATCATTTGAAATTACTTTAAAATTCTCAACAGTTTATGCAACATTCCTATACAGCTAAGAATTTCAGATCTTGCACGGTACTCAGGATCCTGAGAAGAGTTTATGCACCTGAATTCAAGAATTGGGGAATAATTCTCTTAATGCCTAAGAACATATTAACTGTGTTTATACCCTAGTCAGTGCCCTGGTAAATACCAGCAGTCCCCACTTTGGGGCTAAGTGCACCACCTAATTGGACTTCCCTGGTTAGGGAAGCCACACACTTTACATTCTGCCTCAGAAGCCACTCCTTCAGTGGTCTTGGTCCAAGGTCTGCAGAGGTGAAGATAAGCGTCCTCAGTGGGAACTTCACGTCATGGCCCTCAGCTTGAAGATAGCTTCTCTGAACAGGCAGAGCAGCCAAAGGGAGGGATCGTTGCCCCACTACCAGAGGCCTAAGGCAGGCCTGCTCTAATCAGCCAATCTCCCTCACCTTCTGCTTCACCCTCCCACACACATACAAAACAAACCCATCCCAGACTGGCATTAAGACAGCTGTGGTAGCCACAATGACTACTCTATCTGTATATTAAGCTATCCTCCCTACACAGGCAGGAAAATTAGCACGCTTAATAAGAAGTGTGCTGGTGCCCCAAAACTAGCAACGCTCATATATACCTTCCCTGCCCTTGTGCCCTTTTTCTACACCTGCAGACTCTTCTCAGAAGAAGGAAGTCCTAAAGTGTATGGCTGAAGCCTGAGTCCAGATCATGCTGCAGCAATGCCAAGGAGATGTTATTCTCGGCCTAAAATGTTAGTCTGCTGCCTTCCAACCTCAACCATCACACGACCTTTTGAAAATTCCACTCTCATGCACTTCAGCCAACAGAGTCATATTTCATGTCAACCACGATGAGATGGCAAGCATCTGTTCTGAAGGTTCTTAGACATGACAACGAAAGGCACCTTGACGAACATTAACCATTGTGACTGAATGTGGTGATTATGAGTCTTGGCTCATCTCCCTCCTGGAGTGATCAACCTCTAAATTTCTAGGTAAATAACAAAACAAACACTCTCTACAATACACCTGTGCGTTATCAGGAACTGGTTTCTCAAAAGTTGGGTTGTGACAAGAGACAAATAAAACTCACATATGGCCTCATTACTCACCGAAGGGTCCACCTGGTCATTGGTCACTCCTCGCAGAACTATTCTCAGTGGGTGCTTCATAAATGGAGCCAGGCAGAGAAGACTTTCCAGATAATACCCAATGCTGCGAAGGATGCTGCAGTCATGTTCCACAGACCCACCATACAAGAGGCCAGGCTGATAATATAAGGTGGTTCCTTACACCGGAGAAAAGAAAGTCAGCAGGAAAAAAAACTTAGTGTCACAAAGGCAATGAAGGCAGTAAGTCCCAAGGGGAAAGTCTGGCAAGGGCATCTAAGACAGTTCAAAATGCCATTCCTAAGAGTCCACATACTTCACTCCAAAAGCTGACTCATTACTGTCAAGCCCCTGTAACAATAATAAACTGTGAGTGTAATTTAATAAACAGTAATAAATTAAACCCCTCCCTGAGCCATCTGAACTGCCAAAGCCGTGGCAGGGCACAGAGGAGATATCCTAACAGGCACCCTAGTCTCCCAACAGCACACTCTCAGACTGTGCTGATGTGGGGTTTACAAGTGATGTTCTGAAATCATCATGCCGGCAATCAGCTTCTTCTAGGCCCGGAAAATGAAATTCCCCATATACCACACTCACCAAACAAGGTACCTAGAGAAGGCAAGTACTTTATGGCACTTACTTCCATTAACAGTAGCTATTTTAATTTAATAGTAACAAATGGAAATGGCTAAAATTATTGAACAGCTTTAGTGGAAACTCTTTGTTATCTTTATTTATTCTTTCAAATATTCACATCATCTAAAAAGTTTCTTACTAGGTTTACATATTAGAGGAAGAACCAAATAAAATAGATGATTCAGGGAGTATGAATAAGTGAACACAGTATTTTTGATGCTAATAATCTTTGGCCAATGTCTTCTGGCACAATTTACCAATAAAGAAATTTAACATTAGAGGAAGGAACTATGTTTAGTCACCAAAAGAAAAGCAGCTCTAGGCTTCCCTGGTGGCGCAGTGGTTAAGAATCTGCCTACCAATGCAGGGGACACGGGTTCAAGCCCTGGTCCTGGTCCTGGTCCCACATGCCGCGCAGCAACTAAGCCCGTGTGCCACATCTACTGAGCCTGCACTCTAGAGCCCGCGAGCCACAACTACTGAGCCCGTGTGCCACAACTACTGAAGCCTGTGCGTCTAGAGCCCGTGCTCCGCAGCAAGAGAAGCCACTACAATGAGAAGCCCACACACCACAACGAAGAGTAGCCCCCGCTCACTGCAACTACAGAAAGCCCACGTGCAGCAACGAAGACTCAACACAGCCAAAAATAAATAAAATAAATAAATTAAAAATAAATAAAAAGAACTAAAAAAACATTTTAAAAAATCCCTACATTCTTTAAAAAAAAAAGAAAAGAAAAGCAGCTCTTGGGAGTTTCATAAAATAAATACAGGTTTTACTATATTAAAAACCAAAATCCCAACCATCACAATCAGAATCATATTCTGATCAAAGTGGGAAAAACTCTACATTGGTTATTCTAAATACTATTAAAGTCACAAAACAATCTTTCTTTTAGGTCAAAAATCTCTCCTCCCTCCCCCGAGAAAAGACTCTATAACCACTAAACTCTGCAAATCTGTTATGCCTGCAAATTAACCAAATGATAAACTGACCAGATCATCAGAATGAAGGCTTCCTGGGGTGGGGGGAGCAGGGACAGACATATGAGGTGGAAAGAAGCAGGATCATGTAAATGTCTTACTTCTCAACCTAAGTTGCAGATATGACCAGAAAAGAACAGAACTACCTGCTCTCTGAATCACCAATAAAAATAGCTGAAAAAAATCCCCAGCAATTTCAAAGTAAACAAGCCAAGGAAGACTAAGGGAATCATAGCTTGCAAAGGGCATCTGATGTTTTATGCCTGAAACCTGCTACAGATCAACAAGTCCCATGGCCACTTATGAAGCCAAGCTTGTCTTCTTTCTTAAGAGAGCCAACACACAGAAAAGTTCAGTTTCCTTTGTTGAATATATGAGCAAAGGCACATAGTAAATGGAGCCAAAGGATGCTTGCCATGATCGTCTAACAATGTAGATAAAAGAGTTTCTAGGGGGCTTCTCTGGTGGCACAGTGGTTAAGAATCTGCCTGCCAATGCAGGGGAAACGGGATTGAACCCTGGTCTGGGAAGATCCCACATGCTGTGGAGCAACTAAGCCCATGAGCCACAACTACTGAGTCTGTGTGCCACAACTACTGAAGCCCACGCACCTAGAGCCCCTGATCCACAAGAGAAGCCACCGCATTGAGAAGCCCGCACACCACAACGAAGAGTAGCCCCTGCTTGCCACGACTAAGGAAAGCCCGCGTGCAGCAACGAAGACCCAATGCAGCCATAAATTAATTAATTTATTTTATTAAAAAAAAAAGTTTCCAACAGCAAAAAACCCCAAAACAAACAAACAAAAAAAACCACTCAGACAAAAAACATATAGAAACAACCTATATGTTTATCAGTAGGGAACAGTTAAATAAGTTATCAGTAGGGAACAGTTAAATAAGTTATCATGCTTCCATACGGTAGAATACAATATAAGGCCCACTGAAATACTGAGATGGACCTGCATGTGCCTGGCAAGAAAATTCCCTGAGACATCTGTGCTAATGAAAAAAACTGGCTGCAGAACAACAAGAAGAGCATGACCCTGTTGATGGTTTGACATACAAAAGTGCCCACGTAAGCAAATGCACATAAAGGAGACCAGGACACAGTCCCCACACTGTGACCACCGCTGCCCCTGGGAGAGAGAACGGAAGAGGGAACAGGGTGAAGGGATTTTTCACATTTTTTGCATATACTTGTATAAACTTACTTTAAAAGACAAAATAAAAAAAAAAATTCAGCACATACAACTACCTCAGACAGTTTGTTGGAAGATTTTATTGTGACAACATAAGTTAAATGGACATTGAAAAGTTGTATATAAATGTTAGGTATAAAGTGTTTTTACTGTTTAAAAAGAAGAGGTGCTCGTCTGTTGATCTGAAATTTTCAACTCTTCTAACTTACTTAAATCAAGTGTATTCTCCTTAAATTGGCAGATTTCACATACCATCTCCAGACAATTGTATCACAGATAGGAAACTGGGTCTTTCCATCCAAATACAATATTTATACCATCAAAAAGAGGAATATTTAAGTATTACATGTAGGTGCTTTCAGGAATGGGAAGAAAAGGAGCTTACCTGTTTGGTTTATTTCAATTCGAGAACCATTAGTTATTTTGTCCAACAGCCTTATGAAGCTGGCTTCAAAATCTGTGGGGAGAAAAGAAAACAGATTGGCCTCATGCTAGGTCACCATTTCCAGAGCACATCCCATTCAAGTACTGCAGTGCGGGGTAGGTTACTTCCTGCATCATACCTGGGTTCTTCTCAGGACCTGGGTGGCTAACTGGCTAAGGAATCTGAAGCAGTTAAAAAGCACTGACTAGGGGGCCTCCCTGGTGGCGCAGTGGTTGGGGGTCCGCCTGCCGATGCAGGGGACGCGGGTTCGTGCCCTGGTCTGGGAGGATCCCACATGCCGCGGAGTGGCTGGGCCCGTGAGCCATGGCCGCTGAGCTTGCGCGTCCGGCAACGGGAGAGGCCACAACAGTGAGAGGCCCACATATCGCAAAAAAAAAAAAAGCACTGACTAGCATATATATGTTTAGTAGAACTATTAGAAACAACTCAGTTTCCGTATTCCACCAAAAAATAGCAATTCTACCAGCAATCTAATGGGATATTAATTTTAGCAGAATAACACCCACCTGTCCTCCTGACCTCAGGAGTGTGTGCCAGATAAGGGAGAAAGAGCAGAAAGTAGGAAAGAGTTTTAAACTCAAATTCTTACTTGCCGCAGAACACCTGACAAGGAAAATTAAATCGAGGACCACCCTTCCATCTCAGAGGCAGTAAGAGGTTACCGTCTCTCCCATTCAACAAAGCATCCCTGGCTCCTTTCCTCTATCGTTTACTGATCTAGAAGCTATCTAATCAGTTCAGTTTTTAATTTTATTACAAAGGTGCCTGAATATACAGTATTACTGCCACCTTTTTAATGCATGAAAAAAGACTGGAAGAAAAAATACAAAATGTTAATAAATGGGTTTCTCTTCATAGGAGGATTTTATATGAATTTAGTCTTCTTGTTTAAATTTTAATGTGTAAATCTGCTTCAATTACTTTTATGAATAAATTGTTATCTAGAATATAAAAGCTGGTTATTCTTTACAAGGTGGGGAAGGGTAGATTTTAAATGTGAAATATGGGAAGAGGTAGAGTGAAGACTCAGGATTAAAGATCCTCTGTCCTCCTCGGTAGATTTTACACACACACACACACACACACACACACACACACACACACACATACACACACACACACACACACACACAGGCTTTAGCTTCAACCTCGCTCCCATGAACGGGAACAAGGAAGACCAAGTCTTCTGCACTGAAGGCATGGGGACTGCCTGACGCTTTCAGGCAGTTCCTACTTCTACAATAGACTAGCAGAGTTTGAGAGCACAGACCTTAGAGGTCACCTAAACTGATCCCAAAGGGTGAAGCAGATGGACTAAGCAATTCCCATCTACCTGTTCTGTTACTTAACACTGTCCCATAACTCCTGTCATAGCAGATTCTGCAATCTTTACAAAGAGCACTGGGCCAGAAGTCAGAGAAACTCCCTTAAGCCCTGAAACAAGGCATAATGGCTAATAACAGCAGCTGTGTATTAATGCTTACCTATGTAATCCTTATAACCAGTAAGCAGGAAGTGTTTCCCATTTTACAGAAGGCTGAGGCCCAAGAATGCCCTCTAGCTTGCCCTGGTTAAACAACTGGCAAGTGGCAGAGTCAGGATTTGAACCCAAGGCCTGCCCTTCTCCAAAGTCAATGCTCTGAACCACACCATAACTCAGTTTAATCCCTCAGAGTCAACCTCTTCCTCTAGAAAATTATGGTACCTTTCAACTGTAGGCAATGATTTAACTGAAGGACCCTGCAGATGATTTAATAAGTCCCCAGTCTACATTTATTTTTAATGAAATTAGAACAGAAAGACAGTATCAGAGTTACATAGTAAGGGTGCTGTTCATGAAATTTTAGTCTCAGTTTTACATATACTTGTATGTGTATTAGGTTGTGGTATAAGTAGCAACACAAAAGTTCAAAAGTAACTCAACTACAAAATCGAACTAGATGATTTCTATGGTCTTTTTATATAGAATATTCTATGTTTTTAAAAAGTAGGCATGATCTATACAACACAATGCCACTTTCTACTTATGTTTACGGAAAATGCAAGGTATTCTGCACAAAAACGGAAAACCCTTGATTTGCTCAAGCTTTCACAGTGCCTAAATGGGAGAGAGGAACAAGCATTTATGAATAAAGCCGAAGATTATCAACTCCATAGCTTTTACAGATTAGGAAAGAAAAGAAAACAAAATTACTTTAGAAGTAGTTTTTATCTGCTGTTTTTTTTTTTTCTTTTTGTAATCCACGGGGACTCTTGAGCATGAACACAATTAAAAACGCCCAGCAGAGGAACATGAGTAGGAAGAGAATGGGAACCTAAAGAGACCTCCAGGCAGGACCATCCCCTGGTCACAGTAAACAGGTTCTTCAGAAGCAGTACTTCAAAGAACCAACCCAGAGCTAGTTCCAGAATCCTGGTAACAGTGAAGATATAGCTGCATCACCTGGTATGAAAAAGATCTCAAGTTCTCCTAATAATAGTCAGACTGAAGTCTCAAACTTCATTAAGACAAGATGTAAAGGATTCCTTGCCCCTTCACTTCTTCAAGACTCCTCCCACGAGTACAGAACGTCAGATATCTAACAACATTAGGGGGAAAAAAATCCCCAAAATAAGCACAAGCACAAGCACAATTTTACTGGATGGTTTAGGAATATACATAATTAGGTTACACAGCTAGAAAGAGAATCAACATGAAGACCATAATGGTCAGCAGACTGGCAACCATTAGGGGCATGGAAGGGAGTGGTGAATGAAAGAGGCACACAGGTGTGCACAATGTTCTATTTCTTGACCTGGATGGGATCACACAGATGTTCATTTTATAATCCTATAAGACTAGGATTATGAATGTCTTATGTCTTACGAATTTTTTACGTTATTGTATTTCATATTTTAAACAAATCTGTACTATCAGGACCATCAGTTTCGGGATTTCTTAAATACTAACTCCCATACCTACTGCCCTCCCCACTTCCCTAGCCCCCAAAGAAGTGAACGCATCATTTCTTTAAAGGGGCTGGTAACTTCTAGAAGACTTAGTGGTGGTCATCAACCCAACCCATTCCTCACTAAGAAAGGTAAAACCATGTCTCCAAGAAGGGGAGCAAGAGAAGGAATATAATCTAAAGATCTATACTTTATAACAAGATCTATACTTTAAAAACAAGGATTTAAAAAAAAAAAAATCTCAATAAGCAGTTTCACTTGAAAGTATTGTAACGCAACTCAAATTCTAGAAATATTAGTCTGCTTAAATAAATTATGACACATCTACATACCAGAACACTCTGCTGCTATAAAATTAATAAGGTTTTTTTTTAATATACTGATATGAAACATCTCCATAGTATACTGAGTGGAAAAAAAGTAAGATGCAGATGGTCTTTGAGAAAGGAAAAAATGTGTACTTGCTTATTTACAGGAAAAACAGCCCTGAAAAGAAACACAACAAACCAACGACACTGTTTGCTTCACAGGGAAAGAAGATTGGGAAAGAGACAGACAGACAGACAAAGACAGACTTTGTAAACCATTTTGTTCCCTTTGAATTTCATGTCATGTGTACGTGTTTTAAAAAAACACCTAAAAATTAAATTGAAAAATACAAATAAAGGTATTGTAACAATTTAAAGAGCCAATAAACAATGCTCTCATTAAATAGCCTATTAAAGATATTTATAATACAATATAGCCATTATTTTTTTTAAACTGCTTAATTACATAGGGAGATGTTCACACTACATTAAGAAAAAAAATTTTAAGCAATATATACAGTGTGACTTCAATTTTGTTAGAGATAACTAAAAAGTAAGACAGCAAACTATTAACACATGAAATTAGGAGTCATTATTTTCATCATTAAATCCAAAAAGGTAGAAATTACATACACCCAAGTCTCAGAATAAATTAAAAGATGTCTGCTCACTTGAAAATAAGGTACATATAAAAAATTTATGTATTTTATGTAATTATGCATAATGTGATAGATAATAAATTATACTTTAACTTAAAGAAATATTTACATAACATCTTTCCTAAGTTATGAATAGGTCAAGAAAAATATATTAAAGAGACATATCAATTTTATCAAAATATATGGGGGTCTACAAAAGAAAAACTTACCACTCTAAACACTTTAGTAATTAAGAAAAAGAGGGCTTCCCTGGTGGCGCAGTGGTTGGGAGTCCGCCTGCCGATGCAGGGGACGCGGGTTCATGCCCCGGTCCAGGAGGATCCCACATGCCGTGGAGCGGCTGGGCCTGTGGGCCATGGCTGCTGAGCCTGCACGTCCGGAGCCTGTTGCTCCGCAGCAGGAGAGGCCACAATGGTGAGAGGCCCGCGTACCGCAAAAAAAAAAAAATACAAGAAAAAGAAAAGCAAGAGAACAATGAACTGAGATTTTAGAAATGGAACAAAATTTCAAGCTAAAAAATAAATGACAATAATAATCTCAAAAGAAGAGATAAACAAAATGGAAAACATAGCAGAAAAAGAGCTAATTCATTGAAAAAAATACAACACAAATCAATATCCTCATTCATTTGTAAAAGGAAAGAAAATGTGAATTAATAAAATAAAAAATATAATACAAAAGATTGAGAGCTTTTATGGTAGACTATTCTCTATTATTTACTGACACATTTGGAATTAAAATGGATGGTTATGTAAAAAGATAACAAATCAAAACCGATAAAAGAAATTTTTAAAAAGGCACAAAAAGATAAACCCAGGGCTTCCCTGGTGGCGTAGTGGTTGAGAGTTCGCCTGCCGATGCAGGGGATACGGGTTTGTGCCCCGGTCCGGGAAGATCCCACATGTCGTGGAGCGGCTGGGCCCGTGAGCCACGGCCGCTGGGCCTGCACGTCCAGAGCCTGTGCTCCGCAACGGGAGAGGCCACAACAGTGAGAGGCCCGTGTACAGAAAAAAAAAAAAAGATAAACCCAAAACAAAGGGAATGCGAAAATTCATCAAGTAATAAACAGAAAAGAGCACTGATGAAGTTATTTAAA